GGTATGTGTGTGTGTGTGTGTGTGTGAACAGAAATTTTACTATGATCATGCAGCATGCCAAAGATTTGGAACCACTTAAGCCAGGAGATATGGTGCACATACCACCAACGCGATATGAACGCCGCTGGGAACGTGCAGAAGTAAATAGATAGTAAGTAAAGTCGCAAATAGATCCACGTTCATATGAAATACGGCGTGAGGATCACCGTATACTGCGCAGAAATCCTAAGCATCTACATAAAACAAGCGAACCGAATTTTCCAGCTGTAAGCGACTATATATAGGCCTACTGACGAAATTGAAGCTTGTCAGGTAGCTCAGCCCGACTCCGACAGCAGATCCAGATCCGCCCGTATAGGCGTGCGGCGCAGCATTAGGGTAACCAGGAAACCTTGATTGAGAAGCATAATCCTGCTGCCCGGATTCAGTTGATAGTTATGCCTTATGGATCTCTGTTAGAGGATTTTCATTTGATTTGTTACCGACAGTGAAAACGTTGTAAGGATATGATACAAACAGGCCCGTAGCCATCTACTCTCTATCGCTTGTTCGCGTTCTATATCTAGTATCTAGCCGCATCTCACACCACGGCACACGTTAAACTATAGCTATAGTCGATCTAATTTTGTAGGCTGGTTTTACCGCCGGCAGTGACCTTTTATTACCCCTAGACACAACTGTACGGAATTACGGTACTACGTCCTACTGGTTCAGTCGCACGAGAGCAAACTCGCTACACTGGCATGATAGACTGGGGCGCCGCGCGCCACGTTGCGCCCCGCCGCCCCTTGGAGGGCGGATGCTCAATTATCAATGTTGCGATAATACGTACGTTTGATTTGTGAAAAGTTAGTCGCTATAGGATAGCCAACACAAATTAATTTTATGGAAACCCACGCGCAGCGTTATGAATGTCGACGATTTTCATTTCGTAGAGTTACTATGAGTCTACATTTTGATTTTTTTTTGTATTTATAGCCTAATTTATTTTTTTTCAGGTTAGTGCGTAACGACAAAATGTCATTTTTGTAATATACGCGATTACATAAGTTTATACCCTCCACTACTCAACTGCTCTCTACTAACTAGAGGGTTAGGTACAAGCCAAAACGCCACCAGGCCGGCGTAACCAGGACGAGGCTCGTGTTGCACGCTCAAATACTATAACAAAGTAATAACGTAGTGGCAGCCCGTTATAGAACACGTGTATACTGGTTACATCTCCCTTCTAAATTTGGCCTTTAGAACTATGCTGACGATGAACAAATACTTTGTATCAGGCTCGTAGCCAGCTTTCTATTTGGGGTGGGGGGTTCGTTCTTTCAATTGGTTGGGCAATTTGTCGGCGTGGGTGTGTCGGTAACAGGATTGTAGCCAAGGGGGGGGGGGTTCTAACCGGTAACCAAAGTGCGAGCACGCCCGTAAGGGTGGGCGTTTGGGGGGCCCTCGCCCAGAAATTTTTTAAATTTAACCACCTCAGATGGCGTTTCTGCGCTGAGCACAGGGGGTCCGGATCCTGGACCCCCTCAAAACTACGCCCCTGCTTCGGGCGCCGAAGCGACTAGGCGAGGGAGCCAAGCGACCCGAGCGGCCGGGAGGGTGTGGGAGGGGGTGTTCACTGTTCACCCTCCCGCACGCATGGAGGATTTTGCCAATTATTACACTAAAATGTGAGCGACCTGCGTGAATTCTTGCAAAATTGTTCAAATTATTATTTTTTTTTTGCTTGCGTTTGCGGGATGGTGTGGGGGACGGTGTGCGTGGGGGAAGCGCGGTTCGTTCGAACCCCCCGAAACCCCCCCNCGCAAGCGCACTGCGTCGCGCAAGCAATAGTGCCCGCTCAGGCGGGCATCATTGTTTCATACGCAAGCGCACTGCGTCGCGCAAGCAATAGTGCCCGCTCAGGCGGGCATCATTGTTTCATACGCAAGCGCACTGCGTCGCGCAAGCAATAGTGCCCGCTCAGGCGGGCATCATTGTTTCATACGCAAGCGCACTGCGTCGCGCAAGCAATAGTGCCCGCTCAGGCGGGCATCATTGTTTCATACGCAAGCGCACT